TGTAATCCCAGCACTTTGAGGGGCCAAGGTGGGCAGATCATTTGAGATCAGGAGTTCAAGACCAGCCTAACCAACATGGTGAAACCGTGTCTGTACTAAAAATACAAAAATTAGCCAGGCGTGATAGCACACACATGTGGTCCCAGATACTTAGGAGGCTGAGGCATGAGAACCACTTGAACCCATGAGGCAGAGGTCACAGTGCCCAAGATTGCACCACTGCACTCCAACCTGGGTGACAGAGTGAGACTCCGTCTTAAAATAATAATAATTATTATTATTGTGGAGTGGATCCATGTAAAATAGAGATAGTGAGAAAGTTCTGAACACCCTGAGGAAAGGAACTCACTTTTATCCGATACCTGCTTTATGCAGGATGCTTTTTAGTGGGTATCTCACTCATTCTTTTAACAGTCCTTGGAACTAGGTATTACTATAGCCATTTTCTAGACTTCAGAAAGGAAACCTGAGGAGTTTAAGTTTTGTTCCAAGTCACACAGCTAGCAAGGAGGAGAATCGGGATTCGAATCTAGTTGTCTTTGGCTGGCAAGTCCACTAGCTGGCATATTAGGGCGTGGCTTCAGTGAGGAGATGAATATGTAATTATTGAAATATTAAAAGTCCTTTAACAAAAAGAATGAGCATTTTAGGGAGAGGATTATCTGGATAATCGGACCAGAGTATCTGGTGGCTCCATAGAGGAGGTGCAGTTAAGAAATGGCAACTAGGCCTGTGTAGCTGAACAAAGGAAAATGGTAAGGGAAAAGGACGCGGGTCACCGGGACAAATTCCAGAGGTTTCCTGACCTCTTTCGGAAGTTATTATTCTGGACCAAATCTGCCGTCTTCTCCTCCATGACCAATCTGAGCTTGCAAATGTGTCTGTGGCCAGCCAGGGAGATTGTGTCACCCTCTCTTTACTGTCAGCTCAGATATGTTTACTTGTCATCACTGCCTCTCACTCATTAACCCCACTGCGAAGAACTCGCGCCCATCAAAGCAGCATTACCAATATTTACGTCAGTTTTCAACATTGATTTATCGGCATGGAGGGGCGGCGATGCTGTTGCGGAATGTTTTTACTTTAGCAGCCAGGGAATTTCTGTAATTGCTTATTTTGCCTGTGGTTGAAGATACCTCCCTATTTTTCCAGTCAAACAGTAAACACTTCCTTTGACTCCTTGGACTTCCTGAATAGGAAGATAAATAAGAATGTCTCTTACAAATTTCATTTTAAGGAGCTGTGTTTTTCAGTTCATTGTAAGCACTGTGTAATACATCCCAAGTGGAACAAGATGTGATTAGGAGAAGGATCATCTGCCTGACTTACTTCCATTCCAACCCCATCCCCATCCTACAGGTTGGACTGAGTTGGGCTACTTTCTAGGGGTACAGACTGGGTGGGGGTGAGGCCTGCAGTAGCCTGACTCATCTCTGCATCTTTTCTTGGCTCTCTCTCCTCGTGGACTCTGAGCTCCTTGTAGTCTTAGCGTCTACCATAGTGCCCAGTACATAGTAAGACCATGGTTTGTTTTCTAAGTTAATGATTCAGTAAATGGTCCCCAAATGAGGATATCATCTACTGTGTTTGTCAATGAAAGAACTTAATAAGACAGTTAATTTAGTGCAGCCTCTTATAGGAATAAGGTACATTTTGATCAAGGGGAGATAAAGGAGAATTGCATTTAGACAAATGACTACCCCTGATTCTCATCCTCATCTTCAGCGTTGCAATTCAATCCCCATATATCAATGTCTTTGTGCAGCTCAAAGTAGGACCAGCAGTTACACCCCCTCCAAAGAGCCTGACCTTCCTGACTTAGCTTCATCTCTTTATTTTCCCATCGATAATCAGCATCCACTCACTGCCCTAATCTCAGCTGATGGCAATGAGGATGAGATGCTCACAGAGTCATGACTTGCTAGAAGAGGACAAGGCCCCCGCAGGCTGGATTCGGGGATGTGAGAGGACTCCATGGGGCTGGTAGTGTGATGCTTCCATCCAAGCAGTAGGCAGGTGAGGGAGTAGGAGTCTATCATGATCCATCATGTAACGGAAGATGGATTGAGAAATGGGATTGAAACAAACCACCCACGTGACCCCATGGGTGCTCTCTCACTTTCTTCCAGGCAGATGGAGGAAGAGATGGTATCAGGACAATGAGCTAGCAAGCCCCACAGCCCCATGAAAGGCAGTGTGGCTGGGACAGCTGTGTCAAGGAGTCCTCAATGAGAAAAAAAATAGTGTTAGCCTTGAAGACTCTGTAACTCATTATAGAGCTCTGGGTAAATTAAAAAAACATAGTCGAAGTTTGTTTTCTGGACCACAGGCAAGCAACTGATCAAGAAGAAAAGTGGGGCCAGGCATGGTGGCTCAGGCCTATAATCCCAGCACTTTCGGAGGCCGAGGCAGGATTGCAAGGTCAGGAGATCAAGACCGGCCTGGCCAACATGATAAAACACCATCTTTACTAAAAATACAAAAATTAGCCGGGTGTGGTGACATGCATCTATAGTCCCAGCTACTCAGGAGGCTGAGGCAGGAGAATCGCTTGAACCCGGGAGGGGGAGGTTGCAGTGAGCCAAGATCGTGCCACTGCACTCCATCCTGCACCACAGAGCGAGATTCCATCTCAAAAAAAAAAAAAAGGAAAAGTGGATGCATGGCCTTACCAAATAAAGCAAAGCTAGCCATGCTCATGGGCCTGGTCCCTGCCACAGCCCCACTTGGTGAGGGACAGGGATGGGTACGGGGTACAGTGGAGATCAAAGGTACTAAGGACTGTGGCAACTTGCAGTGAACCAGAAAAACTGTGACCTGTGACCCAAAGCACCCATCAAATGCCAAGAGGCACTTGGGGGAGGAAGCTGAGCCAGTCCTTAGGCACTAACCTTGGAGCAAAGAGTCATGGGAGAAAAAGCCACCGCATTAGAGAGGCCACTCCAGCCTCCCGCCCACCCTGCACTCCTGATACTCTCAGATGTATAGCACTGATCTCCCAACAACTTTGGCTATAGCCCCTAACTCACATACTCCTTTGTCCATTCTCCTCCAGGGGAAAAGAGTGCCCAGTTTCAACTCACAAAATTTGGACAGGGCTTGCAGTGGGGAAGTGAAATTAAAGTGACTGTGTGTGAGGTCCCTTGGTTTGATTCAATGCATTCTTGTGGCTTCCACATCTGAATGTATAGCGAATGGATGTGTTACCTGCTTGCAGTTCTCCATCCCACAAAAGTGTCAGAGAGGTTCTCCCTTTCAGAGTCGGCAGCATATAGAAAAGTGCCAATGGGGCTGGGCGTGGTGGCTCATGCCTGTAATCCCAGCACTTTGGGAGGGTGAGGTGGGTGGATCACCTGAGGTCAGGAGTTCGAGACCAGCCTGACCAATATGATGAAACCCTGTCTCTACTAAAAATACAAAAATTAGCCTGGAGTGGTGGCACATGCGTGTAATCCCAGCTACTCAGGAGGCTGAGGCAGGAGAATCACTTGAACCCAGGAGGCAGAGGTTGCAGCGAGCTGAGATCGCAGCACTGCACTCTAGCCTGGGTGACAAAGCAAGACTCTGTCTAAAAAAGAAAGAAAGAAAGAAAGAAAGAAAGAAAGAGAGAGAGAGAGAGAGAGAGAGAAAGA